AATGGAGATTTTGTAGTATCCTTCCCCTGCCACGTCCACCAAGCCACATCATGCCTACCAAGCCATGCCCACAGGACCAGTAGTAAAAAAAAAATGAATTTCATCACTGAGAAAATATAATGCGAAATGAACCCAATATTTCCTATCTTCCTTTATATGTTCAATTTAGTAAGTGAATGCCTGGTTTAATGAAACAATTTGCTTTTCTATCTTTCTGCATGCATAGATACATTTCTGCATATTGCAGGTGTTGTAAACCACTTGTATGTTGATAATAAGAAATGATGCATGTATTTTTAATGTTTAAGCACTGGATGAAAACAAAATGAAGAATACTAGAAAACAAATTAGTGAGTAAAATAATCTATGATCTTTACAATTGCTTTGATAATTTTTGAAATAATGATAACCGTTCTTATTGGCAGGTTTTTATTTTGGTCTACTGAAGGGACTTTTGATAGCATCTATCGAGCAAACCTGGATGGAAATAAAATACGGAGAGTTTTAAGGAGCACAGAAAAAATCAAAACCATTTCCTTGGACTTTATCAATGTAAAGCTGTTCTGGATACAGTATGATGCCTTTAATGAAATTTCATATTTTGGAACCTGTGACTACAATGGACATTTCATCCAGCTATACAGACAAATGGGACGGTATGTTTATGGATATAAAATGGTATTTGAAAAAATTGCATCCATTAGCTGTATCCCCTCTGTCTGAGGCGCAGACCTCTACTGAGGTCTCTCCAAATGGATAAGAAATTGTTTAATTTTTTTATGTGACACATTTATTGTATCTCCTCCAATGAGGCCAAATTGAAATATTATGTAAAATCAGAAGGAGAAAAATAGTTCTTTGCCAAAAGTGCAAATTATCTTACGTTAACTAAAAGATCCTATTTCCAAATATTAAAAGTTAGCTTCATTTTTCCTATTTTGAATTAAATGGAAAAGGTTACTTGTAAAATTGATTACAATTAAATATTATACAGATATTTCTAAGATGGTAAACTACCTTGCTATACTGATAATGTATTTTCCTTATCTTGAGCATGAGCAACTTCAATAAACTGAGGCCTCCACTTGTTTTATTTCACTACAGAAGTGAAGCTTATGACATATTTATCTTTGGTGACCATATATACTATTCTGACTCAAGGACTGGAACTATTCGGAGAGCCAATAAATACACTGGAAAGGATATTGTTGTAATTAACTTGAAACAACCATTTCCTCAACCTACCGAGATACTGGTGGTGCACCCCTTAAAACAGATCGGCAAAAGGATGGATTCTAAAGGACTTGGTAACTTTACTTGTCACAATAAGGAAAATGTTTGCTCCACAATGCAGCCTAAAAATGCTTCATATAGAAAACATAATTGTTACTTATTTTTCAATTTTGAAACTATTGAAATTTCAAAATTTCAAAACAAGAAGAATATACAGTGGTAGTACCCATTGCCTCAAAACTTGTCGAATTTGGTTCTCAATGCATTTTGATGTGAAAATGTTGTCCCAGTACTTGGTCTTTGTTTAGTACTCAACATGCTGTCATAGGAAGAGGAGGATGGCTATGGGAAACAGGAAGTCAGCTATACTGGGAAGATTGTTGATGTAGAAAAAGGGACAGACAGAAAGTTCTTCTCAGACAAAATAAAGGGTTGCATGGTAATTCACATGGTTTGTTTGAAAGTTGTCTTTTTTAGTACCCATCATACCGCCAGAACAAATTAATGCAGAGTACCAAGGTACCACTGTAAAACATTAGAAAGACATTTATATTGAATGGTAAGTAAATATGAAAATAAAAAGAGATGGGGGGTGAAATGCTGAAATGTATGTCCATTCAGGGAGTAATGCTGAAGGAGATGGCCATGTGATAGCAGGACCATCTCCAGAAATGACTCTCCTGGTGTGATGAAATGTATGTAAAAAATGGATCCCTAAGATGGAGGGGGGCACATTGCAGCGAAATAAGGGGCAATTTAGCTATCATGTGTGAGGAAAAGAGAGTGAAACATCCTCTCCCCAATAGTTCACAAAGTATATTGCAGATGCAGATAGTAGAATGCTCAATCTGGCAAGATTTTTTCTATAGCTGTGGAAATAATAAAGAATCCAGCTTGGAATAATTCATCCATATCATTCTTGGCTTGGAGCTTGACACCAGTAAATCTTAACAACTCAACAAATTTATAAACTGAGGAGCCATCATTTAAATCATCTAACCTTTATAGATTTAAAGTTGGGTATTAAGAATATAAATTTTGCCCAGTATTGGCAATGTAGTGTTTTCATTACTGGCATCAGATGGCCTACTTATTTTGGAACTTTTAAATTCAAATTGCTTACTTTACACCAATTGCAATTTCTGAACAACTTTCAAGGGTAGTCCATGTAGAATTTATTTCAATAGATAATCTGGCACCCAATGCAGGGTTGAAATGCTATCAGTTCGGGCCGATTTTTTAAAAATGCTTTAAAAAAGTTTTTAAAAGTTCAGACAATCGTGTGGCACAGCTGATTGTCACAGTTGATTGTTGGAACCTTTTATTTACTTTTTAAAGCATTTTTTACCACCAGTTTGGGTGAATAGGTAGTTTAAAAATGCTTTAAAAAGTTTTAAAAAAGGTTCTGATAATTGCGCAGTACAGCTGATTGTCACAAAAAGTTTTTAAAAAGGCTCCAACAATCAGCTGTTGATAATCAGCTGTGCCGCATGATTGTCTGAACCTTTTAAAAACTTTTTAAAGCATTTTTTTATTACAGCTTCAGGCTAATACAATAGCAAAAAATACTTAAAAAAAGTTTTAAAAAGTTCTGACAATCAGCTGTTCGCCCCCCCCCCGCCCCTCAGTGTTTTACTTACCTTTGCAAACTCAGGAAAGAGTTCTTAGTGCCTGCGGTGCTCATATGCGTGAACCAAACTGGTAGCAGACTCCAGAGCATTTCACCCCTGATTCAATGATCTATATAGAACATTCGCTGGCTGGGGAATTCTGGGAGTTGAAGTCGAGACATCTTCAAGTAGCCAAGGTTGAGAAACACTGATATAGAAGATACATGGAAAAATCCCAGGGTTTGTTTAGAGAAATACAAAGAATGTTAAGATATTGTGGATAGCCTTGTTTAATCTTTACTTGTAAGTAACAGATGATTAGATTTTTATTTCTTTTTTAGATTTATATCCCACATTTTCTCCAGGAGTTTAAAGGCAGTATCTACAGGATTCTCTCAACTTTTTTTTTCAAAACACAGCCTGTCAGATGGGATGGGCTAAAAAATGCTCATTATAGGTAGATGTAAAGAAGAGCACGGGCATTGGGTGATGAGTTAATCTGTTCTGGAAGCTAATGCAAACCATGATTTAAGAAGTCAAGTAACTCAAGATCAATCTTACTTCATTTGGGGCTTATTAGTAAAAAGAAGTATTTCAGTGTACATTTCCTATGTGTGGGCCAGGGGTAGACAACTACTACTGACATAATATCATAAAGGCAAGCAGTGAATAGACAGGGCTCCTGAGTAAGTAATATATATATCTGACTGAAAGCTGTATAAATGTTATTTCCCTTGTGTTATGTGCACATGCTTGCTTTGACATTTTCTCCTTATATGCTAATAGAAATTTAAGACTTAGGTTTATAAAATTTAAACCAGATTAGTTCTAGTATATCTCAGTTTGTCTCTCAAATTTTGTTCCTTTGTTCCTTTTTCTTTCTTTCCTTCTTTCTTTCTTTCTTTTTCTTTTTCTCCTTCCTTCCCCTCCTTCCTTCCTTCTATCTTTTTTCTTTCTCCTCCCTCCCTCCCTCCCTCCCTCCCTCCCTTCCTTCCTTCCTTCCTTCCTTCCTACCATCTCTCCAAAGGCAACTTTAGACAGCTTTACAGATATTCAATTAAAAAAATAAAAAAGAACATAAATTTAAAATTCAATTGAATTGAATAAAATAATAATTAACCAGGATGGACAGAGAGGGAGCAAATGCATACAGGAAGGAAGTTAGGTGTTATCTACATCCAAAGGGCCACATTCCCAATTGGGATCCCCATTTCCATGTTAGTTAGTGCTGAGTTATTTCCTAATTGCCAATTTTCCCCTAACCATAACTCAGCTAACCTCTTTATCTATTTTCCCAACTCTTTTCTTGAATTTCACATATATTGTACAATATCATATATTGATGGAATGTAATTGTTTTCTGTGAGTGTTTTTCCCTGATAATGCATGAGCTTTTAAAATATACTATTTGTTGACTGCAGTCCATTCATTCTTTTTCCAGCAAAACCGACTGAAAAAGAGAAATATGAAGGTCATGTTGTCCTGGTCTCAAGCTTCTTTTGTTTTCTTCTTTTCTCTCCTTCTAAATGCCTCTTTATAAAGCAGCTTCATAAGGAGCTTAAGTTTCCCAGTCCAGATGAACTCTTTAGTCTTGGCATCTGCCTTATTCAGTTTATCCATCCAGACTAATTAACCGCTCATATTAGATTTACAATGAGGCCTTACAGCAAGGGAAAATTCAGGATAAAATCATGTAAACTCTATGCTCTATGGAGGCAAAACCATGATGTGCTAGAAATAAAAATGCACAATTGAACCTGGTTGTGACAAGGAAATTACAGCAGCTTTCACTTACAATACAGTGGTAGTTTTAATGGTTAAAATGCTTGCCTGATTCAGATTTGGGTTAATAGTTGCAAGCTTTATTGCAGGATGCAATAAAATGGATTAACATTCATTTGCAGAATGAAGAGCCCTGTGGGTACGCTGTGATCCTATCCAGATGACTGAAAGTTATTGTAGCATAAAGTAGCATAGTTGGAGTTCTTAGTGTTCTTTGAGCTTGGCTGTTTGCTTGCAGACATTTCATAACCTGACTTGGTAACATCAGCAGTGTGAGTGAGTGTGGGATTTGCTCCCTGTTTATATACAGTAGCTGGCTCTGTCAGTTTTGTCCTTGGTAGTTCTTTGGCTACTACATTGTTTCTGCTAGATTGTCTGGAATTAATTTCTACCTGAGTTTTAGCTGCTGGAGAGGATGTGTTCTGGCTTTTCTGTTTCCCTCTTACAGTAGCTTTTTTGTGCCTTTGAATGATATGTAAACATGGCTTATTTCTATGTATCTATTGATGGCTGCTTTGTCTGAATGCCAATCTTCCAGGAATTCCCTTGCTTTTTTGCATCTAGCATGGTCTAGGAGGCTCACAATTTCCCCATTGGAATTATGGTTGAGTCTCTCTAGGTGTGTGAGATTAAGGAGTGTTTATCGAATTTTCAAGGACACAGTTCAACCCTGATTTATGCATACTCTCTTTTCCCTTGAAGTAGCATGACTGTTTATCCAGAAATAAGTGCAAACTACAAGCAATGTAATATGTAACAATATTGTCTCCTGTAATTACTCTGGTTTGGGATAGCTTTTAATAGTTTCAGCCATTTGATATTTTCTTGATTATTTGAAAACAAGGCAGATTAATTGAAAACATACAAGTCTGTATTTGAAATCTCTTTGACACAAATCTGATTATTAACTTAGCCTTACCTTGTTTTGCCAATGGGCATGAATAATCAAAAATTAGAAACTAAAATATAACCCAATACATTACTTAAACAAGCATTTCCATTCTAAACTGCTGTCATTGATCTTTCCAGGATATTAGCATCATATGATGTCAATAACTAAACTGAGTTTTCTTCAATCTATCCAAATACATTGATATATATATATA